GTCTGTGATCAGATGCTTGAAGCTCTCATCAGGTTGTTGTGTTATTTTTCTTCGCTCTAGAAGGCCTTTTCGTTTTGCTAAGTTTTGTTTTAATGACATAAAATCAAAATGTGAAGGAGTACTAATGCTTTTCTTAAAGGCTACTTCATAGCTTGAAACAAAGCAAATTGTGGCAAAAGATCTGTCGTCTTTTTCAGGTAAACTAGACTAAGTGTACCTAATAATGGGCAGAGACAGGAGTGTGTCTGCTTAATTCTGGTTCACTTTAAAGTACATAGGAGAGGATAACTTTTTGTCCTTAGGCTGGAATTTATGTAGGACAGTGTGTCCACTAAAAAATGGGGTCTGCTTGGCAAAGGTTTTGCTTGCTGTCAATTTTGTTAACTCATAGGCCTCTGACATTTCATGAATTTCATTGTACAGAAATTAAGTATGAACCAGGGTTTGGATAAAATTGCAACAATTTCATATCAAAAGGCATAAAAGGTAGAAAATTTCCCAAATTCGCACTGAAGCATCTACAAATAACTTCCTGTTGTTTTATATATTTAAGACCATTTAACCAAATACCTGCAAGAAATGATCCTATTTCAAAACTCCACCACTCAATCCAAATCATCACCATTCCAGCCACAGCAAGCTTGATAAACTGTCCCCAGTCTAACAGACTTTCTGTGGTCCAGCCTAAATACAATTATATCATCAGACAAAATCATATTGGAGAAGCTTGCAACATCCCATAGTATCTACTAAACTATCCTATATGGCACATCTACAGATATTAATACAAAAAAATATCCTTGATGATAAATTTTTGGTTTAATGTTAGTAACAATTTATGATGAAAATGGTTTTTGGCGACCAACAAATCAAGAAGGGTTGAGATAAATAAAAAGTAGTTGCCATGTAACCCATCCCAGACAGCAGTTCCCAAAGCTTCCCTGAAAATTAGCCACTACTCATTTCTATTCCTGGGTGGAGAGGGGCACTGTTAGAGTAAAGTGTCTCACCCAAGAACACAATACAATGACTCTGCCCATCCTCTGACCTCTACCCACCGCCCATTGTGCTAACTTTTGCGCAATCTCACCTCCACCTCTCCTCCCTGGCCAAATAAATTCATGGCTACCTGACTACTGAGGTGGCCCTACATGTATAATTATATCCAAACTGACCCAAACACTTAAGCCATTGAGTTCAACTTAATTTTTGTGTCAATCAGTAAATTTCCAATTGAAAGTACCTAGGTGTGTTTTTAGTACCTGGCCATGTTTTTTCATCCAACTTAAAAACCCTCATGTAAGCAAATGTCAACAAAAATATGATCACATTGGTAAATGACCAGCAGATGGCAATCCCTCTGAAAAGAGACAAAGCCAGATTAGTAATATTCCCATCCATTCAAGTTTTAAAAAGTTAATATAACCCCACAATAAGCCAAGGGCAATTAAAACAGTTTGAGATTCTTTAAGGAAAATGGCTTATGACCACATTGGCAACAAGTTCAATTTAAATTAACTTTTTAACTCCTAAGATTTGATTGTTAATTCTTTCCTTCAGCTTTTAGCCGTTTCCTTGTAAATTAGTCACAGATTTTGTTTGATTTTTCATTGAAATATCTGCAAGGCTTCATCCATGAGAATATAGGTTTTATGCCAATCATACATTTGTTTCTACAGTTGTACCTAGTTTTAGTGCAAATTTCTCTATATTGGCAGGTCCACATCAGCCTTTGGCTGGGTAGCTATTACAGCTACAATCAAAGAACCTGCCCTGCCAAATGAGAGATGGATCAACTGATTGACTGATCAACTGACTAACTGAATGTAAAAAACTTTAGGAGATGCTAACCTGAAACCCCATTTGAGGACATACACCATCAATGCATTTATACCAATTTGAATAGCATTGGAGACAGCGCCAACATAAAGGATTGGTTTGACAACACCCTGCAAAGAAAATTAATGAATTTTATCATTCAACTGTACTTTGTAGAGTACAAATAATGCAAGAGACAAGTACAAATATAATGCAATATTTGCACTCCAGAAATATTCGTGAATTTTGCCCCCACTGAAATAACACTTTGGCATGTTGGATAATAAATCTCTTATCCCAGGTGAAAATCCTGTCCAGGATCCTGCAGGATCCTGTAGGATCCTATAGGATCTTGATTTAAATCCTGACTAGGATCCTAGAGGGATAACAAATCCTGAATAGGATCCTAAGTAGGATCTT